TGTAATCTATAAAATTAGATCTATTTCAAATTTTCCCATAGTATTTTTGGTGTATCAGATCCATTTCGGACGTTAATAGCCAATATCATCAATACCTATTAGATAAAATAAAAACATTAGGTCATATCATATATCGAATGCTGCGGTGTTAAAAAAATTATTCTTTTTTTTTCTTTCTGGTAGTGCCTTCAGTGTCAAGTTCTTTTCTATATATTGTTTGTGATTCTTATGTTTCTGTCAACACTTTCACACACACACATATTCTTCATATGTTGCATTAACATTTGGAACTGAAAACTTGGTAAATAATATTGTTTCATTCAATCTGTTGTTAATATACAAAAAATATTGAAGTCAAATTGTTATACATATAGAGAGAGAGAGAGAGAGAGAGAGAGAGAGAGAGAGAGTTGGGCAAGCAAAAAGGCAGTTTTAAGTACGTAAACCACACACAAGTGTTCCCAAACGAAAAGGACTTGGATTGTCTGCCCTCCTTATTTTATGTCTTTCTCATGCCCTCATATATTATGTGATCACGGTTAAGCTACGTCAACATTTTATATTGATTTTTTTATAAAAATAATAAGATAAAAACAATAAAAATATAAAATGTAAAGTAATTTAATCGTGATCACAGAAATAAAAGGGCATGGAAAGTTCATGGAATGGGGTTGGCAGCACCATTTTTAAATCTTTTGCTGACGCCCTAGAACACATGAATCAGATCATCGGGACCACCTAAGATTTTCATCTTTGGGGCGATTCTACAGTCTGATTGCGCAGACATTCTTCAGTGACACTCACAGCTTCAACCGCCCACGTGTCTGCTCATGCTACATTGGCATGGAGAAATATTGTGCGTATTCCCTCCAATGGCAGATACATAGATGAAAGTGTTTCTTTATATAATGAGTTTATATATTTGACACATCCTAAGAGAAATCTTAGTTTTCATTGTTGTGTACAACCATTCTTTGTCTTCCTCGTCAAGTAAGATGGCTTACGTGATGAAAGAGATAGATAAAGATAATGATTGTTGATAAGCACATGTAAAAGGTAGGACGGTTAAATGTTACTTCGAAATTTTCGTCAAGCTCACCAAGACTGCTCTTATCCTTTCTAACAACACTATATATTAGCAAGTGGTCATTTACCACAGTGATGGAAAGATATTGTGCCCATGCATGACGGCGTGATTTCAAATCCAGTCGGTGACTAATCTAATATTTAACTTACTAACGCTATCGCTCAACAAAAAAAAAAAGACTATATATTAACTTCCAACAACAAAAAAAAAACAATATTTTCATCCTAATAGGTCGTAAGTGTAAATAACGGGTAAATTAAGAGAATAGACAGCTCAGACTATTAAGCTGCGATGCAAAATAATACTAATAATAATAATATATAATAATTAAATAAATAAATAAAAACTATGGATCTATCAGGGGTGGGGCTGACTGAAGTTCTTTCAGGGGTGAGTGAAGATATGAATTGGAGTTTTCTATGAGCGTTTTCAGCAGTAAAAGTATTCGGTAGATCTGCATCAATGTCAAAGTGGATTTTCGTAAAAAATAAGAAAACAAGTTACATGAAACATGATAATAGTTATCATGGTGTCTAAAACCACTAATACAAGTTAGATGCATGGGTGAGATTCTCTTCGCACACAACTTTATATTATTGGTAAGAGACGTCAAATAACGGTAAACTCGTTCTATAAAATTCTCTCCTCAGATTGACCCAACATTATGTAAGGTATGGTTGAGAAGAAAGATGACCCCCCATTAAGACTTCCTCCATTCCATCACTCCCCACTCCGTCCACAAATTTTTCAACTGCTCATCCCAATTCTCACTCCTATAACATTTTTCTCCTCCTTTGGAAATCATTGTTCTTCTCTTTTCTTCAGTACTTAATTCACCCGTTAAGTTCAGAGTCTTCAGATCCTCATAATCCATTGATGTGCCGATCAAGCCCTCCCTCAAGTCCTCAAACACTCATCAGCCTTTTTGCCTTCACATTTTCAGGACAGGATTCCGTACAGAGCCGGCACCATTTTCCTGATAGGGAAAAGAGAGGAGGGTGGGAGCCTACAGGTGTCAGATTTTGACCCCACTGTTCTTTTTTTTTTTTTTTTTGTACGTATAATTTCATGATCAAGAGGGCCCATGACCCCCATTACAATGTGATTTGACACCCGATGGTGGGGCTCAATAGATTTGGCTGAGGTACGACCCAGATTTGGACTTGGACTTGTGGTGACTCCCAACCAACCAATCCATCCATACAGGTTCATCATTTCCAAGTTTTATGTTAAAACCTAAAATTAAGACAAATTTAACCCATAATTTGGCCAAGGTTGAAAGGCTGGCCCACTAAAATTTAGGTTTTAAACTAACCTATTCATTCTCCTATTGTTGGGCGAAAAAATGTTTTGGGTTAAGACTTAAAATTTGAGCAATTTTAAATACATTAAATCCAACGGCTGAGTTTAGGTATGATCAAATTTGTTGGTAAAAAAAATCTAACGGTCCAAAAATCCAACGGATAAAACAAATAAAAAAAATTGAATCAAAATTCAACCTTAAGCTCTATAAATACATGTTTCTTCAGCTCGGTTTTTCTCGGAATCTAAATATTTTTATGTTAAAATGCTCTTAAAAATAAATTATGATAATCTACATGAATTTAGTTTTTGAAAAATACTACCGAAAAAATTTTAGCCTAAATTTATTTTTAATAATCGCAGACTAAAATTTTAACCCATTACCATTTGAGCAAAAAAACTATTTACGGGTTAAAACCTAAATTTTCTGAATTAAAATTTTGAGAAAATTGCAAGAATGGTCCCTCAACTTAACCCAATTGGAGCAAGGGTCCATCAATTGAAAATTCATGATCATTGGTCCTTTAACTCATCAAAACGTGCAGTTATGATCCTTTTCGTCAACTTCATTAGAATTCTGTGAAAATGAGTCATGTTAGAAGGAACATTGCTGTAATTAGGTTAAAATTGAGGGATCATACCTCCAATTGAGTTAAAGTTGGGAGACCATTTCTTCAATTGGATTAAACTTGAGGGATCATTGCTACAATTTTTCCCATTTGGTTTTTTATATTTTCCCCTTGATTTAGTTTCGCGTGCGTGCCAGGTAACTTATTTTGATGAAAGTTCTAACGGAGTTGATGAAAATGGCTATAGCTGCACGCTTTTATGAGTTAAGGGATCAATGTTCATAGATTTTTAGTTGAGAGATCATTACTCCAATTAGATTAAAGTTGAGGAACCATTGCTACAATTTTCTTTAAAATTTAAAATTTTAACTCAAAGGTTGGAGATGATCTACACATTCATTCTTGATTTTCCTTTTTTTTTTTTTTTGTTTTTTTTTCCTTCTAATAAAGAGGAAATTTTTAAAATGCTACATAGCATTGACGATGGAGAAATAAATTGCGGAGATTAAAAATAGAAAATCCAAACAGTTGCACAAATCAAATTTGAACGGCTAAAACACTTACATTGAATGATACATAGCATAGAATCCACACCAAAACCCAACTGTCTCAATTGTACACCTCTATTACAAGGATAAATTCATCAAACACAAATTCATTTCAACCAAATCAATTAAAAATGAATTCCCGATTGATCTAAGTTTCGTAATCCAATAAGCAACGCTTAGGAGCATGACTCGAAAATAGAAAACTTGGAAATCATAAAACATGAGATTTGGTGAATCCTGAGGCGTAGTAGTGAGTGAGTGAGTGAGTGAGTGAAGATTTCCAAAGCCATGGAACCAATATTTGCAGGCGTATTCGTGCGTAATCATAGAATTGCTCTCCACCGTAAACATTGCTGAAAATCTCCTTCCGATATCACTCTTGCCATTTTGGTCTTGATTGCGTGAGCAAGTGGCTTCTGAGGTGGGATGTTAAACAAGATTATCTTTTAGGCTCCTAATTCAACAACCCTCACAAAAGTCTGCACTCACAACAAATAGTAGAGCCATTGTAGCAGGCACTTGTGATCTAAATATCAAAGACTACTATTAGTATCAAACACTTGTCCAAACTCACCACTTGGGTCGGAGGTTAGGTTAAGCCACACAATGAGCCAACAATACTTTGGTATCGAAGTTACCATTCTCGGGAGTCAGACCTACGACCGCACACATACAGGTGGAGAGAAATTCCACCAGATGTGTATAATGATATTTATACAACAAAAAACATGATCGTAAAAGGAAAACTTCAAATATTCACTTATAAACAAAGCATTCACAGGAAACGGGTGAAATACCAACTCTTTGCACGTCCCTCTTTCCAAACATAAGGAGGCACGGTCAAGAACCAAGTAATCTCTATGAATGTCTTCTGCAACTCTACGATCATCATCTACATATACAGATTCAAACCCACAGCTTTTGGGGGGGTTTCAATTATCATATCATCAAATTAATTGCGGATCAAAATCATTGAAAAAAAATGGTTGCTGGCGAACCATAGCAAGAACCTAGTCATTATGTAGAGAGTGCATCTCTAACAAGCTATATGATTATCATGAGCATCATTAAAGTTCTGTAGAAGGCAGTTTCAGTCAATTGCAATATTTTCAATTGATATCATATTTAGATTTTAATTACTTTGTCCTCTGTAATTTGTTCCTTTCTCTTGTAGTAATAACAAATGGTTGCATTTCTCAGCAAGAAAATTAAGAAGATATTTTCTTTGCAAATATAACACAAATAGGAGGCGGAGGTAAGGGTCAGGAATCCATCAATTTGACTTCTTGAAGCAGTTAACTGTCTTCAGATTTCCTAATCTGTTGTCCAACTGGTCTTTCGAGCTTCATTTCGTGACAGTATATACTATAACTTTGACCAGTAGCAACTATGAGCCCCTAATTTTACAAATATATACCCCTAGTATAGGCACGAGACAACGAAATTCAGATACAACGGACTGTATGTTTAACGCCTAACCAGACCTTAAAAAAATGGGAAATTGACAAGGCTGTGGATTGATGAAATATGCAAAATTCAATGAAAAGTACAACATACTCTAAGGTAAAAACTAAAGTTAAGCAAAAAGATAAGATCTGGAGTACCACGAGAAGGGAAGTAGTAACATTCTGAAGAAGAAAAAAAACGTTGATGGTTGGCTTTGAATAAGTGAACTCACATTGTGTCACTAGGAGAAATAATGAGATCACTGCAAACAACTTTCTTCTTCATTCTTTCCAAGTGTAGGGAGCACGTTCTACAACCAAATAGTCTCCTCGGATATCCTTCACAACTCGAATCTCGTCATCAAGGTACACAGTGTCAAACCTAAAAAGAACCAAATTCCTTTAATACCAAAAAACATAAAAGCTAAAACAAAGCAGCACCTCCCCAAGTATCACAAATACAGATTTGGGTTGATTAGAAAGACATTAGTATTGAAGCCTTAAGGAATACAAAATGCACCTCAAATTAAAGCATCAGATTTCTGTAATGTCAGTTGTATGCTGATATTCACGCAGATAGTATTGCCTGTCAGAGGTTTGGCTTTTCTATCATGCAAGGGTAAATAGAACTAAACCAGGCTGTAAATTTTTCTCATTTCTTTCTTTCTTTCTTACTAGTTTTGGTTAGTAATCAACTCAAGAGTTGAACCAGCAGTTTTCTTTAGGAGAAGTGATGAGTCTTCTGGAATAAATCATGTGTACAAAACAATGAACAGGATGCTACTATCAGGTGCATAACTTCCTTGTGACAGAAGATTCAACCTGATCAATTACGAGTAAACAACCTATGGTCGTAAAAACCAAAGTTTAGACTGCTCTCTGTGGCACGATAAACCTAAATTCCAAAATCATGCTACTAAAACCAAGCACCTAAAGAAAAGATGATCTTCAACAAGTAGTTTTCAAATTGCTCTGCAAAACAAACAACTTGACTATTATAGTGCACAGTAGTTTTCGACAGATGTCTGTTACTAAAGTTGAAAATTCAATGCTCTGGGGCCATTAGTCACACCATTCACCTATCTTTCAAGGTAGTATATTAATCCAGAAGTAGAAGCTAACTCTCTCAAAATAACAACATTCAGAAATTCAGCATCCATTAAAAAGGGCTCTAGCAACAAGAGGTAGGTTTCAAGCACTGGGAACGCTGATATGTTGCCTAGAGGAACAACCAGGCACACTTCCTATATGATAAGAAAAGTGGACACCAAACAAAGCTCCTTTGTAATTGAATCCCAAATTACGGAGGAAGGCTACATCTTTTCTGAAGCAGCTCTATGTCACACCTCAAAACCCACAAATGAGAATTAAAAATAGAGCAAATCAAATAGGTACTACCTATCTTCTTTCAAAACTAGCAACTTCTGGGATTCAGACGTCAAGAATGAATTAAAAGGAAGTATCTTTCATGCAACGCAACTTCATCAGGACAAAAGCAGTGATAAGTAGACTTATTGTTGGCACAAAGTACCAAGGAATTCCAATAACTGGAACTTGCAGCAAAGCGACACGTTCCCCCTTCAGTAAGGAGTTCTTGGGTTAAATCATGGAAGGTGAGGGATAGAACAGAATAAAGCTGTGCACCTCTAGGGCCTGTTATTATTTGTTTCAAAATTGGAAGAAAAAAATGCGGACATATGTACACTCCCACAAAATGTAACAGAATGATTCACTTTGTCATTGAAATCAGAAGGTCAGGATAACAAGGAATAGGTAACGTAAAATAAATAACCAAAGAAACATTTATCATCACATATCAAGTTCAAAACAAATAAAAACCAGTAACCAAAACAAGTGGAGACATACCATGGATAAAACTGACTTAACAAAGAAACTAATGAGACTGTAAAATCAGTTCATGCCTTCATGAGACCGATGTCGAAGCTAACCATATGAGTGAAGTTCATAATAGTCGGTTTCAAGCTCAGAGATGAAGTGATAGAGGCAAACTATATGGCTGAAGTTCATAACTTTTCTAACCATACCAAGCAAAGCAGTAACGACTTGGGATTTTCTTAACATCAGAAAATAAAGCACTCACCAGCCCTGTCCGAACGGCGGCAATGGAATTTCCCAGCTTTTCCCTCTTAGAACTGCACTTGTAAATCTAACACAAACCAAACATCACCAATTGATCATACAACAAAATATAATTAAGTAAATACCAAAACAAAGAAAAATAAACACTTCCCAAACTTCCAAATTGTAATTCGAATCGAAATTCAACTTCAACACCAAATTCTAACACATACTTGAAATTAACCCTCTGATTTGAAGCGACGGCGATATCAGAGCGGACGAAGAAAACCCCATCCGGAGGAAAAGTGATGACATTGTTGAGGACCCTTTGGCCGACATCGATCACCTGCAAGACGTCGCCGGTTTGAGTGCCGAATAAGGAAGCGTTCTGGATGATGAAGAGCTGCTCCTTCTCCGTGGTCCAGAGCAGCCGCCATGTGGCCGAGAGGGAGCCGCCGGTGGTGACGCTGTCTCGGCCAAGATCAGCCAGGTCGTCGATGGCCTTGACGATGGAGGCGAGCTTTGTGGGGTTGTTCTGGGTCATGAGGCCGCGGTCCTGGTCGCCGATGAGGTTAAGGAGGCGTTGCTTGAAGAGCTGCGATTGGGCGGTAGGGGCGGAGCAGGTGATTTTAGCGGGGCGGGTGAAGTGGGGTTTGAGGGGGATAGCGCGGAAGGGGAGGCACGTGGCCATTTGATTATGGGGGGTGATGAGAGAGGGGGAATGATGGTGGCGTAGTGTTGAAGGTTTGAGTTATGGAGGTCACGGCTGGTAGTGAAAGTTGAACTGGATAATTGGCGGTTAAAACTTGAGAGGTTGGGGATAATTGCCAAATATTCAAAAATAGAAATTCATACATAAAATTTATAAATTAAATGATGTGTTACTAAAAATGAGTACGCGCTTAAATAATAATTCAATTATCGAATTCCATATAATTTAGTTTTCAAAATTTTAGCGATAGAATGTTTCATTAAAAGATGAGTTATTATACCAAATGGTCCCTTAGATTTTCATGATCAATAAAAATGGTCTCTAAAATTGAAAATCAATAGAAATGGTACCTGAGATTGCCAACATCCATGATTTTGGTCTTTCTATTAAAAACACTAATTTTCAAAACTTCGTAACTCAATCGATTCTTAACTCAATTTGACCCATAATATATTAAAATGAAGATAACAAAGTGTAGAAAAAGATTACCTATTTGGAATCCCAATGATTGTTGGAGATGGCCGGAAAATAGCCTAAAAGATGACCGGTCAGCGGGAAAATTGGAAAACTCATCGGAAACTGGGTAAACTTTAAACGTTCATAACTTCTTCAATACTCAGAGCAACTCCAGCGTTGGAGCCCTCCCCCCAGGCTATGCACTATTCAATCCACCTAATGAACAGTAACAGCCCTTAATGAATAGTAATAGTCCTGGCAATAGCATTTGCATCTCCACCGTTACACTTCAATAGCCCTGGCAATAGGCAATTAAATATTAGTATTTTTTTTATTTATAAAATAATACAAAATAATTTTAATTGTAATGTCGGATAAGATTTTTAATTGTTCTCGTTGCGCCACGTGTCATTATCCGAAGTATTATTAAATAATACAAAATAATTTTATTTGTAATTTCGGATAAGATTTTTAATCGTTATCGTTGCGCCACTTGCCATAAAATCCAAAAAGACAATTATTAGGGATGGATTTCCAATAAAGTTTTTAATCGTACTCGTTATGCCACATGTCATTATCCGAAAATAAAATTATTGGTGATGGATTTCTGATAAGATTATTAACCAATCACGTCGCGCCACGTGTCATAATCTGTTCACAATCTTTGAGGATAGATTTCAATCAGATTTTTAACGAATGACAACATGCCACGTGTCATAATCTGTTCACAATCTTTGAGGATAGATTTCCATCAAATTTTTAACGAATAACGACATGCCACGTGTCATAATCTGTTCACAATCTTTGAGGATAGATTTCCATCAGATTTTTAACGAATGACGGCATGCCACTTGGCATTATGTACAACCTAATCCTTTCTGAATCCTCCATATAATCCACCATCCATCCTCACAAATCTCACACCAATTTTCTCAAGATCTCTATCATTATTCATAGTTTCTGTTTCCTTCTTCACAAAAATCTGTATCATTATTCATAGTTTCTGTTTCTTTCTTACAATGTCTTCTTCTTCCTTAAGGATGATGTGGGAACTCGATCAAGAAGAGGAAGAATTGTTTAACCAATCAGAAGCAATGTTCAATCACCAGGGGCAAAAAATAAGAGGGAAGAGAATGAGGAGCGTAGAATGAGAGATGACGAAGTAAGAATGGTCAAAGCCTCACATTCCCGTCGAGTCATCCAAGCTATGGCTCAGATCTGCAGGCCCAGCCATTCCGGAAACCTTGATAGAAGCAGGCAACGACGAGGTATGGAACTCTTGGATGATTATTTTGTTCCTAATAGTGCATTCCCTGATACGTACTTTAGACGTCGTTTTAGATTGGAACAACATTTGTTCAACAAAATCATGATTACTGTTTGCAACCATGATTCTTACTTTGTGCAAAAGAAAGATGTTTTTGGTGCTATGGGTCTACTGCCTGAGCAAAAAATTATTGTTGCCTTGCGGATGCTTGCATATTGAGCATCTGCAGACCAAGTGGATGAGATAACGAGGATGGGGAAATCAACCATTCTTAAGTCCCTTATGAGGTTTTGCAGAGCAATCGAATATATCTACACCGCTGAGTACCTCCGCAAACCTACAAACATGGACTTAGAACGGCTGTTGAAGAAGGCCGAGATGCGTGGCTTTCCTGGGATGATTGGAAGCATTGATTTTATGCACTGGACGTGGAAAAACTGTGCAAGTGCATGGTAAGGCGCTTATGGGGACAGAAAATGAGCAAAAAGTATCATTCTGGAAGCGGTGGCATCTTTTGATACATGGATTTGGCACGCCTTTTTCGGGGTCCCGGGAGCTCAAAATGACATCAATGTTCTTGCCCAATCCCCAGTGTTCAACGATGTTCTGCAAGGAAATGCACCAAAAGTCACGTATGAGGTCAACGGACGTATGTACGACGGGCCATACTACCTACCTGACGGCATTTACCCGCGATGGTCAACATTTGTCAAAACAGTGTCACGTCCCCGAAGTGCAAAGGAAAAACACTTTGCAAGCTGTCAAGAGGGGTGCAGGAAGGATGTAGAGCGTTGTTTCGGTATCCTTCATGTCACGCCCCAATCCCGACATACGTCCAGAATTGACACGTGGCGTCACCAAAAATCCGTATCAATCATATCCCACCTCCGGGATATGACCAATTACAACCCAATAATCGAATCACATAGTTATTTTCGTAAGCTTTATGGCTGCATCTAACCTCCCTGTTAGACTGCCTACGTACCCTAGACAGGGATCAAGCCATTCGTAGTTCGTCAAGCACAATAATTGACATATAACACAGTCCGATTAAGTCAAAAGGTATAACATTTCTCAATCAATCAATAGAACTTGACAAGCATGAAAATACTAGACTCAGGGTTACATAACAACCCATCTGAAAATCATGATTTCCCCTCCATCAATATATAGGCTATTATGTCACAACATGATACTGCAATTCACAACATATATCATTTCAAAGAACCAACGATGTATAATACCATTCTCTAGCCACATTTATCAACAAGTCTAGTCATAACAATAACCATGATATCCAACATAACAATCCCACATGACGATTAACATATCCACTTCAACCCTCACATAAATTCCTCACGTTTCCCACATAAATTCGCGTTTCATAGCGAGTAACATATTTAAGAATTAACAAAGAACATATTAATCTCTAGAAACATTAATCAACTAAAATACTCATGATAACTCCACTCATATCCAACGTCATTCCACAATCACATTAATCAATAATGTCAACCATCACATCATCAATAACACATACAACAAGTCGAAACGCAAGGCTAGAGCAACACAATTCAGTTGAAAACTACATCTTTGAAAAAGGGGATTTTGGACCGCACAACGGACCAAGGCTCCAAAGGGGATTCCGGACCATCACTCAACAGAATCCAAACAGAACTCAGTTCCAATCCACCCAACCGAATTGAACGAAAGTCCAAGAAACATAACAACGGCTCGAAGGAACAAGACATGATTCCAGTTACCCAATTCACGAAACTCAACGAAACGAAGCAATATTTGAGTAAAATCCACATCACAATGGGTCATCGGTCATTTACTAGACCTCACATCTTCCAAGCAATTCAATATGCATTACAATCATGTGTCATAACCATTTCCAATACCCAAGTTACATCACATTTCACTTCATCATACTAATCACTATACTTCCAACATTATATTTCAATACATAGCTTGTAACATATCAAGGAATCACGAAGTACAATATTAACATTTAATTACGTTAATCAATCAATGAGATAACATATCATTTCATGAATTTAATTAAAGAACTCTACATAATTCCCAATTTGGGTTAGGAATAATAACATTGTAATTCTAATTTATTTTCACAATATCTATTGTGGGTAATTCCCATCTACTCGAATTTAGGATTCTAAATCACCTTACGGAATGAACAAGAGCAAGGATTCCGGACCACTCCACGGAATCCAACAACATTGGGTTCCGGACCACTCAACGGAACCAAAATATCAAGCGGTTTCTCATAATCTACCCAAACCTGTCATATGTAAAGTCAATGTCAATATTATGGAATTGGTGCACTGGTAATTCAGGCACTCATATAAGCTGAGAGGCTCAGGTGAGGGACAATAAAATAAGTATGTGATACAATAATAAAACCAGTCATCAATCATAATTTATAAACCTTGAATATAAATCTTTCATAGGAAGTCAATACCAAACTTTTGAAAACTCCGAGGGAGGCGCCCAGACATCCAAAAGTTCATTTTAAACGACCATAACATCTCACACCCATATTCACATACACACAATGAAAGTAGAATTAGGCAACACTGTTCATCCAAAACCTACACTTTGCAACCATCTCAAACTAAACTCCATGAACTAAGGGGGATGCAATCCCGGACCAACACTCAATGGGATCGCGGAGTAAGAGGGATTCCGGACCATCACTCAACGGAACCCAAACCAAGATACGATTCCGGACCGTCACTCAACGGAATCGCGGAGTGGAGTAGGAAGGATTTCGGACCATCACTCAACGGAATCCAAATCAGGATACGATTTCGGACCATCACTCAACGAAATCGCGGAGTAGAGTAGGAAGGATTCCGGACCATCACTCAACGGAATCCAAACCAGGATACAATTTCGGACCATCACTCAACGAAATCGCGGAGTAGAATGTGTAACACCAATCGATAAAACAAGACATGGATCAAGTTACTCAAGGTACAAAGACTCAATGAAACGAGAATGAATAATGACACGAGGGTTGAAACATGTTTCGAAGCAACAAACCCCATAACAATGGATTAAAGGTCCACTACTAGCTCTCGCATTTCATCACATCAATCCAATCATACAACACAAACCATATTTCCAATCCACAAGTCAAATCATACTTACTGAAAATAGATCACTGGCCACAAATAAAATAACACTTCAATAGAATTTACATTTAATTAACATGGGTCTATGGCGTATGTATATATATAATTCACGT